ATTACTACATTTCACCATTGCTGTTTTTTTAATCACTTGATTACAATCAAACTACAATTTAATTTATTTAAAAAAAATCACATTTTTTCTAGGTTAATGATGCGTAAAACACCTACAATTTACTTTTGAAAAAAAAAAATCAAAATTAATTTAATTTCAAATCAAAATCAAAAATCGAATGATATTTTCACTTAATATTGAAAAAAAAAATTCCAACCAAAATAATAAAATTTGTTCACACCCTTATTCCAAGTTCCCCACTAACAAAAAGTCTCAAAATGGTTCCATTTAATGAACTTAATTTATATGAAAAAAAATTTTAATTTATTTTAAATTGTTTTTTAATTATTTTATTTTAAAATTTATTTAATTTATTTTTTATTATTTTTTTCTTTCTCTGTTTTATGTTATTGATTTGATTTATTTGTGTGTGAGTTTTAAAATGATTTCTGAAGTTGTTTTTGTGATTTTTTTAATTTGCGTTTTAAATTTGATTGGAAGCCAGTTTTTGAAAGAAATATAAAATCAATCATTAGTTAAATTTGTTTATTTATTTATTTGTCATTTAATAATGTTTAATTAAATCAAATGATGTTGGTTGATTTAACTGAATACAAATAAATCAAGTGACGATATTCAAATGATTTATGAGGTTTGGTGTTTAACATGTTTTTTTTTTAATTTAAATATTTGTTTTTATTTTAATGATAAAATAGTAATTTTATAAAAATAGCAAAACTTTTGGAATTTCCGAAATCATATCTTGATTTTATATTTTACTTAATATTTCGAAAAAATATAAAATGAAATATTTTAGTTTGTAATGTAACAATAACATCTAAAATTAACACTTTTATTGAAAAGGTTAAAGGTCAAATTTGGAAAAACTTAACAATTTGCAACACATTTTTTACCTTTAGCAAATTTCGCGTTATTGTAACGAAAATCTTATAAAATTAATATTATCACTAAAGAGTTTAAATGTCACATTCAGAAATCATAGAAGATTAAAAAAAAGATACAATTTTTTGAAGATATTCTAATGTTCAGAAGATTAGTCACTCGCTCGAATTCTAAAGATATCTCCAAGAACGAAGACGATATAACAGAGATTAAACCTTTATTTTAAAGTCGACAGATTTATTATTTATTCAGATCTAGTTCAGTTCTATTTCAATTCCAGTTCGGTTTTGGTTCAGGTCTTGTAGAGTTTTAGTTCAGTTCTAGTTCAATTCCAGTTCAGTTTTTTAGCTCAGTTCTAGTTCAGTTCTAGTTCAGTTCTAGTTCAGTTCTAGTTCAGTTCTAGTTCAGTTCTAGTTCTAGTTCAGTTCTAGTTCTAGTTCAGTTCTAGTTCTAGTTCAGTTCTAGTTCAGTTCTAGTTCAGTTCTAGTTCAGTTCTAGTTCAGTTCTAGTTCTAGTTCAGTTCTAGTTCAGTTCTAGTTCAGTTCTAGTTCAGTTCTAGTTCAGTTCTAGTTCAGTTCTAGTTCAGTTCTAGTTCAGTTCTAGTTCAGTTCTAGTTCAGTTCTAGTTCAGTTCTAGTTCAGTTCTAGTTCAGTTCTAGTTCAGTTCTAGTTCAGTTCTAGTTCAGTTCTAGTTCAGTTCTAGTTCAGTTCTAGTTCAGTTCTAGTTCAGTTCTAGTTCAGTTCTAGTTCAGTTCAGTTCAGTTCTAGTTCAGTTCTAGTTCAGTTCTAGTTCAGTTCTAGTTCAGTTCTAGTTCAGTTCTAGTTCAGTTCTAGTTCAGTTCTAGTTCAGTTCTAGTTCTAGTTCAGTTCTAGTTCAGTTCTAGTTCAGTTCTAGTTCAGTTCTAGTTCAGTTCTAGTTCAGTTCTAGTTCAGTTCTAGTTCAGTTCTAGTTCAGTTCTAGTTCAGTTCTAGTTCAGTTCTAGTTCAGTTCTAGTTCAGTTCTAGTTAAGTTCTAGTTCAATTCAGTTAGTGCTAGTTCAGTTCTAGTTCAGTTTAGTTCAGTTCTAGTTCAGTTCTAGTTCAGTTCTAGTTCAGTTCTAGTTCAGTTCTAGTTCAGTTATAGTTCAGTTCTAGTTCAGTTCTAGTTCAGTTCTAGTTCAGTTCTAGTTCAGTTCTAGTTCAGTTCTAGTTCAGTTCTAGTTCAGTTCTAGTTCAGTTCTAGTTCAGTCTAGTTCAGTTCTAGTTCAGTTCTAGTTCAGTTCTAGTTCAGTTCTAGTTCAGTTCTAGTTCAGTTCTAGTTCAGTTCTAGTTCAGTTCTAGTTCAGTTCTAGTTCAGTTCTAGTTCTAGTTCAGTTCTAGTTCAGTTCTAGTTCTAGTTCAGTTCTAGTTCAGTTCTAGTTCAGTTCTAGTTCTAGTTCTAGTTCAGTTCTAGTTCAGTTCTAGTTCAGTTCTAGTTCAGTTCTAGTTCAGTTCTAGTTCAGTTCTAGTTCAGTTCTAGTTCAGTTCTAGTTCAGTTCTAGTTCAGTTCTAGTTCAGTTCTAGTTCAGTTCTAGTTAAGTTCCAGTTCAGTTTTAGTTCAGTTCTAGTTCAGTTCTAGTTCAATTCTAGTTTAGTGCTAGTTCAGTTCTAGTTCAATTCTAGGTTAGTGCTAGTTCAGTTCTATTTCAGTTCTAGTTCACTTCTGGTTCAATTCTAGTTCAATTCTAGTTTAGTTGTAGTTCGGTGCTAGTTCAGTACTATATTTCAGTTCTAGTTCAGTTCTATTTCAGTTCCAGTTCGGTTTTGGTTCAGGTCTAGTTCTAGTTCAATTCCAGTTCACTTTTTTAGTTCAGTTCTAGTTCAGTTGTAGTTAAGTTATAGTTCGCACCTAGTTTTGTTCTAGTTCACTTCTGTTTCAGTTGGAGTTCAGTTCCAGTTTCGATCTACTTAAGTTCTAATTCATGTCTAGTTCAGTTATAGTTTACTTCTATCTCAGTTCTGGTTCAGTTGAAGTTCAATACTAGTTCAGCTCTAGTTTAGTTCTGTTTTAGTTCACTTCTAGTTTAGTTCTATTCTAGTTCGGTTCTCTAGTCTATTTATTCAATTGTAAACTAGTATGTATGGTAGTTCTGGTTCCTTAAAATCCCTTTAGAAATTCCTTGGTAACATAACAGTGTCCCATAGAATGTATTCATAAAGTAAGGGCGACATCATGATGTTCAAGAATTTGTTTAATAAACATTGATTTTAATTTTTTTTCCTGACTAGTTAGTTAAAATTATTTCAATATTAAATAATATTTTTTTGTCTCAATTAATACAAATATTTTCACGTCAAATAAACAAATAAAAAGTATTAACGCAAAATTTCCATTTGATTATAAAATAAACACCTCAAAATATTTGACAGGTTTGTTAAAAGGAGAAACGAGTAAAGAAAAATCAAACAATTTTCACGCCAACTACAACAACACGTTAATATAAATTGAGATTTGAAAATAAAATCATCAACATTTATTTATTTAGCAGTGTGAAGTTAGTTGCTGTTGTTGTTGTTATTGTTGTTGATTGCTTTGACAGGTCTATGCATAATCAACTGACAAATAAACACATGCTAGCAGAAGAGAAGAATCAAACCCACCTTTAGTTTTTTTTCTCGTTGTTTTTTTAGAGAAAATCTAAGAAAATTAATTTAAAGGGAAAATGACAATATTTATGCTAGAAAGAAACAAATTATATTACTTTATGTGTTACAAATGTTGTAAAAAGAGAGAGAGAGAGAGCGAGCTGTAGTTAGTAAAGGAAATTTGTTGGTTTTGTTAGGGAAAAAAGTAAGAAATCAAGGCTTTTATATAATTGAGTTGTTGACTGACACAAGAAGATTAAGAAAACTTTTGTTTCTTTTTTTGGGGGAATAAAAAGGGGAATTTGCTTTAAACTTTTGAGGGATAAAGCTTTTGCTCTCTTCTAATCTAAACATTGTTATGGATTGTTAAGTTTGTTAGGAGAGTATAGCTATAGTTGTAGTAAGAAACTAAACTCCTCCTCTTTGTTGTAGCAAGCTATTGCACTCTTTTGCTTGTGTGGAGGAAAGAGTAAGAGAGTCATGTATATGTGTTGGTTGTTTGTTGTTTTTGTTGCTGCTGCTGCGTAAGCATTAAGAGAACTGTCATTTTTGTTTTAATAAAGTTATAAACTATTTTAACAAGCCCTTCTTGTTGTTGGTTTAAGTAATGTTTGTTGTTGTTGCTGTTGCTTTTAAGCAGAGTGGTTGTTGATGTTTGTGTGTGTGTGCGTGTTTATTGTACTTGCGCCTTTTTTATGGGGATTTTTCTTATAATTTGACGTCGTTGTTTGAGCTGCTAAACATCAACGTTTGCAAAACGTCTGTCAGATTACAGGTGACATCTGTAAGTGTCACACACAATCAGCTCTTCTCAGCGGACTAAAACCAAAATTTAACAACAAAACGGATTTATATCAAAATAAACTTAAAAGAAAACGTTACTATTTTGAATAAAAAAAATACAATTTTTTCGAAAAATAAAGAAAATTTCTAAAAAAATTTTGTTGAAAAAAAAACTCTTGTAAATCCGAAATCCAAAAAGTATCTTAAAGATTTAAAAAAACAGACAAAATAAGAATATCTATAAAATACTAGAAAACACTAGCCTACTCTTTTACTCTCAAATAAACCACAAACTTGCTGTACTACACTCTTTGTTAAGGCAAGAAAGAGAGAGCTAAGTGTATGTATGTGTGTGTGTGTGTTGTGTTTTTTTTTTGGGTTTGCTGCTTCACTTGGTAAAGACGTTAAACAACTGTGATTAGTTAATTTACTCGTTGACTTCAACGTGAACGGACGTGTGTGTAAAAGAAACAAGAATTTTTCAAAATTAAAACAAATTAACAAATATAAGAGAAACACCCGTAATATTATAAAAAAAAGAAAATTTCATTTAAAGTTAAAAAAAAAAATATTTTTGAAATTTAACGGAAAAAAAATTGTTCTTAAAAAAAAAAATAAATTTTTAATAAAAAAATAATTTATACAAAAACAATTTTAATGTGTTTATCAAGTGTTTGACAAAAAAGAAATTTTATAATTTTTTTAAAAAAAGTTAAAAAAAAAACTTACATATTGTTGCTAAAACCCACTCATGGCCTTAGAGGATCGTTGTAGCCCCCAAACAGCTCCATCACCACCAGCAGCAGCAGTAGCAGGCATACCTCAAACTCCCTTACAACAAACACATTTTCTTAATTCCTCAGCTGCGGCGGCTCTTTTGGATATGAGTTTAAGTCAAACGGAATCAGCAGTTACTGCCGCTCCCAATATGTTGCCCCATACAGTGGCCTCTCTGTATCAGCAACAGCAATTGCAACACTTACAGCAATTGCATCATTTACAACAGTTACATCAACAGCAATTGGCTGCCGGTGTTTTCCAACATCCCGGCTATGATTTATCATCACAGGCACGTTTAAGTGTTTCACCCGGAGCCCATTCTACCTCCTCTACACCAGCCTCTACCATGACCATTAAGGAAGAAGAAAGTGATTCGATTATGGGTGATAGTTTTAATGGGGATCATGATCATTCCGGTTTACATGGCAGTAATGTTACCGAAGATGAGGATGAGGAAGAGGCTGATATTGATGTTGATGTAGATGAGGATGATAATGATGAGTTACATCGTACACCGCCGCCGGCTCATCAGCAATCGAGTAAACCCACCTTGGCCTTTAGCATTTCGAATATCTTAAGTGATCGCATAGGCCAACAGCAGCAACAGCAACAACAACAACAACAGCTACAAACTAAAGAAGAAGAATTGAGTGGTAAACATAGTGCTTATAGCCAGCATAATTCTAGCATATTTCGTCCTTTCCATGAAAGTAGAGCCGCCACTGCCACTCCCTCCGCCTTTACCCGTGTTGATTTATTAGAATTGAGTAGACAACAACAGGCGGCAGCGGCTGCTGCTACCGCCGCCATGATGTTAGAAAGAGCCAATATATTAAACTGTTTCAATCCGGCGGCTTATCCTCGTATACATGAGGAAATCTTACAAAGTCGTATGCGTAGAACTGGTATTTTAGCGGCTCCCAATATGCCAACACCAGCTCAAACGCCTGTGCATTTGCAGCACACTAAAACCATGGAACCTCTACTTACCTCCCCTGCACTGTCCTCATCCTCCGCCTCTTCACAGTCAGCCTTGGGCTCTTTGTGCAAAACCGTCTCCCAAATAGGACAAACTACACCACCAGCGGCTAGTACACCCTCCTGTTCCTCCTCAGTTGCCAGTTTATCTTCGCCACCACCCTCTTTAAGCAACAATAACAACAACAATACCTCCGTTTCATCAGCTTCCTCCTCAAACTCTTCGTCCTGTGGTGCTTCTTCCTCGAGTTCATCCTTGAATTCCTCACCCACCAGCCGTAAAAATAACAGCCCTCAACCCATACCACCACCGTCGGCTATTAGCCGTGACTCGGGCATGGAAAGTTCTGATGATACAAAATCGGAAACTGGTTCCACCACCAATTCGGAAACGGGCAAAAATGAAATGTGGCCCGCTTGGGTGTTCTGCACGCGTTACAGTGATCGTCCCAGTTCGGGTAAGTTCAAAAAGAAAAAACTAAAGTTTTAAAGTAGAAAACTATAACAACAAATCTTGACAATTAGAAAGACTTTTTAAATGGTTCTACGCTCCCGAAAAAAAGAAAACAATCTTTAACCTTCAAAAATTTCAAAACGTTTTTATAATGAAGGTCGGTCAGGTCATTACAAACATTACATCCATCAAAAAAAATATAGAAAAAAGGTCACCCAAATAGCTAGCGGCAAAATCCTTTAAATCTTATAAAAGATCTTTTCAAAATGACCTGCTGTGAGTTGACATAAACAATTGTCTCAAGTAAGAGACGAGAGTGTGTAATGTTATGCCGGCTTAAGAGCATTTGATGTCACACAAAATGTCATACAGTTAGTCAAAGACAAACATATGTAAGATTTTCAACAACAACAAAAAAACTACTTACATGCCATAAGAACAACAAAAACATTTAGTTTGTACCCAAAAAAAACTCTTTTTTTTATGTTAAAAATCAAGTGTTGATGGAAATCTGGGAGAAAACAGAACAAAAAATTTGGTTTAGTTTAATATAGATAGGAAAGACAGACACGTGCTTGCTTAATGTAAAGGATAGGGGGAGTAAAATAATAGTTTTTTAAATATATTAGTGTTGAAAGAGTTTTTGATTGTGTGTGTTTTTTTGGGGATTTTTAAAAAGTTTTATTTTTATTGAAATTTAATGTGTTTTAATGGTTTTTTAATTGTTAGAAATTGACAGATTTATGTTGGAATTGAGAGAAAGAAAGAAAGATTACATATAACACTTAAAAACAAGGAACTATTTAAATAAGTAACAGCTTTTAAAGAAGAAATCTCTTAAAATTTTTAATAAAAAGCATTTGCTTAATGAGTATAGTTGAAAACATTTCATTCAAGCTTCAGTTTATATAAAAAGCTTTTTTCATTGGAAGTTTTTTAAGAAAACTTTAATGTGATCTTATTATTTTTACTTAAAAAAAATGTTATTATAAAGCTTTCTAAAAACTATTTTTAGGCAAAAGCTTTAATAATTAAAAACAATTAAGATCTTGTAAATATAAGCCTAAAGCTTTCAAAATTTGTGTAAGAGCCTTAAACAGTTTTACTTTTAATAACTAAGACAGTAACTGAATTCATAGTTAAAACTTATTAAAAGCTTTTTCTATACTGATTTTGCTGAAATTCTTAAATAAAGCTTTTTCCTGTTTTTTAAACTTATTTAGCAAAATTTTACTTCCACTTAAAGAAATATATTAAAGTTTTATAAGAAAGCTTTAACAAGCTCTTGTTATTAACTTAAAAAGATTATAAAAAGCTTTTGCAAACATTTTAGTTATTTAAAAAAAACAACTTTTCGAAAACTTTATTTTTTTCCTAAAGCTTCTAAGTTAAAAACAAAAAGCACTGCTCTAGGCTTTTATATTTTGAGGAAAACTTATAAGCTTTATTTTAATTTATAAGACTGTAGCTAAAATTAAAGCTTTCAACAGCTTTTCTTATGTTTAAAAATAAAGCCTTTTCTCTTTTTTATTAATTTATTTAAAATTTATTAAAAGAAATTTCGAAAATGTTCATTTTATTAATTAGATCAACAGCTAAAGTTAAAGCTTTTAATAGATTTTTTGCCAAAGTTTAAAAAAAAGCTTTTATTTTATCAACTTATTTAGCAGCACTTTACTTTCATTTAAAGACATGTTTTAAATTTATTAAAGTTTTATAAGAAAGCTTTAATATGTTGTTGTTATTTAGTATAGAAAAGTTAAGCAGAAGCTTTTAAATTTAAAATTTCAAAAAAACTTACAAATCTTAAACACAAATCAAGCTTTTAAGCTTTTTAGTTAAATTACAACAAAATTGGTCCCGCTAAAGGCTTTTAAACTTTAAAAGAAACTAACGAGGCTTGAAAAGCTTTTTCTGATAATTGATGTTATAACAGAAGTTGAAACTTTTTAACCAAATTTTACGAAAGCCTTAAAATTAAACTTTTTTATTTTCGATTTTTTTCTTAAACAGCCCAAAAAAGCTTTGTAATTTTCTAAGCTTTTAAAAAAGCTTTTTTTATAAAAGTATTTTTGTTAAATTTCAGTTTTAAACTTATGTGTACCCATAAAAGGTTTTTAAATTCCAATGTTTTTGTTTTATAAACTTTTTTTAAAAAAAGCTTTATTTAAGTGTTTACTTATGTTAGTGGAGTTAGCTTTTTGACATCTTTTCTTTATTTACATTTCCAAAGCTTTGTTTTAGAAATTTATTTTTACTAAATTCTGTTGCTTTCCTTAAAGCTTTTATAAAATATAAAAAGCTTTTAAATTTTCAAAGCTTTCAAAATAAAGCTTTTTTATTTTATATTTGTATTTTTACTAAAATTTTATATTTAAAGCTTGTTCATTTAAAAAGCTTTTACTAAACAAAAAAGCTTTTCGATTTTCAAAGCTTTTAAAAAAACTTTTACAATACTGAAAAAACTTTTTGTTAACCAAAGCTTTAAAAAAAGCTTTTTGTTAACCAAGGCTTTAAAAAAGCTTTTTGTTAACCAAAGCTTTTAAAAAAGCTTTTTTATAAGCATATTTTTACTCATTTTTTTGTTTTTAAAGCTTTAACTTATAAAAAGCTTTTTGTTTTGCTAAGCTTAAAAAAAGCTTTTTTCTTTTAATAACTCATTTTATCATAATTTTCATTTTAATTTTTTTTTGTTTTTCAAAAAAAAGCTTTTTAATTATTAAAACTTTCCTTTTGAAATTAAAACATTTTCTATAACAATTAAAGCGTTTTTTTTTTTCTTCTTAGCAATTAACACCTGTTTTCATTAAACGTTTCTTCTAGGAAAACTATTTATAAAAAAAACACTTTTTTCTTGTTCTTCTTTTAGTTTTCTACTATTAATTAACATTAACTATTCAATATAGAGAAAAAACGAACGCTAACAAGTTGTTGTTGTTTTTTTTTTTCTTTCTTAAATATAATATTCATAAGCAAAATGACAGCTGTCATTGTTGGTCTATGATGTCGGCTTTATTATAAGAAGAAAAAAAAAAGTAGAAAATTTTAAAAAAATATTGCTAATTGTTCAAGCGAAAAATTTTACTTGGTTTATTTCTTAATAATATAATCATTTGCTTAGGTTTTTAATATTTCAAAGTGACATTTTATTTTTGTAATATTTCCAACTCATTAAGTATTTTAAACAGGTTTAGTTAATGAATATAATTAAATTAAAAGAATTTTTTAGTTTTTTTTTTCATATAAATATGTTTATTAATTTTTTTTTCTCTATTTCTCATTTTAGGACCTCGTTATAGACGTCCCAAATTGCCTAAAGATAAAACTACCGATGAAAAAAGACCACGTACAGCATTTTCCAGTGAACAATTGGTTAGACTAAAAGTAAGTATTTTTAAATGTTTGGGATAAACAAAACTATTTAAGTTTCTGTCTTTATAACCTTCAAATGTTTTAAAAAAAAATTTTTTTTTTGAAACATAACTAATTGTAAATTTATGATACTAGTAGGTCCTTTACTAGATTTGTCATATTTTCAAAATATTTAGACAAAATTTGTAACACTTGGCAGGGAGTCCTGTCCCTTTTTTTTAAACATTTTGCTAACAATTTTAAAACCACAACTAAACGCCTTAAAGACAATACACATTGAACAATATGTTCTTAAACTATTCATGTTGGACCTTAGAGAGTTTTCTTTAATTGTTTTGTTAATTCGTTATGGTCTTGTCTTTAAACCACCTTAGATAATTGATTATAAAAAAAAACCTTTGGAAACTAATTTTTTCTTTTTCTTTCTCTTTCCTTCTATTTTTAGCGTGAGTTTAATGAAAATCGTTATTTAACCGAAAGAAGACGCCAACAATTGAGTTCAGAATTGGGTTTAAATGAGGCTCAAATCAAAATTTGGTTTCAAAATAAACGCGCCAAAATTAAGAAATCTTCTGGTTCGAAAAATCCTTTGGCTTTGCAATTAATGGCCCAGGGTTTGTATAATCATACCACGGTACCTCTAACCAAAGAGGAAGAAGAATTGGAAATGCGCATGAATGGTCAAATACCTTAAATAGCCAAATATTAAATTCTCTCGAAAAAAAACCCCAACTCTCAAATTAGTGCAATATTTTGTAAAAATTGTAAAAAAAATTTTTTCCGCTAATTAATTTATTTTATTGTAATTAAAACTTTATTATTGTGATATTATTGTAAAAAAAAGAAAAAAAAAATACTTAAAAAAATTTAAAAGTTTCCTAAATATTGTATATAAAAATTATTATAATTAAAAAAAAATCTCTTGTAAATGTTTCTCAATTTCTTAAAATACTTATTTATTAACCCTTTAAGAGCATCTGATAAAACAAGTATTATTTTTCTATATAATTTTTCTTTTTAATTTATTATTTTTTAAAAGCCCTAACTAAACTTTAAATTTGTATAAAATTTCTATTTAAAAAACCACAACAACAACAAAGTATATCTATAGTATTGTATTATAATTATTATTAGTAATAAGTTTATATTAGTTATAATTATTATAAAATTAAAAAAAAAATATTCTCTAAATTTGTATATTTGTGTGTAATTTTCAAGTAAATCTATTTAAATGAATTATAAATATATATATTTTTGTTTTTATTTAATAAGTTTTATTTTTATTAGTTAATAAGTGAAAAAGAAATATTAAAAAGAAAAAACATATAAAATAAAAAATAAAATATTTAAATACCAAATATTAAAAAAAAAAATATATTTAAAAAGCATTTTTGTTAAATTATAATTCCGAAAAAAGGGTCCAAATCAGAGATACAAGCCGATGCAAAATGGTCGGCGGCGGCGGCGCATCCATATTGGATCGGCGGCGGCGGCTTGTTATAGAAAATATCGGCGGCGGCTAAATTGTCGGCTCAATTTAACTTTTTCTTCAGAAATTGACCTTATAAGCGTTTATTGTATTGAAAAATCTCTGTATAATAGGCTGTTAAATAGAAACCTATCTCTATACAAATTTTTTTATGCAAAAAATGGAGATTATTGTAGTAGTTATCACTATTTTAATATTAGCACAATATTGTGTGGCAACACTTTTCAATTAGCCATAAGAATTTAAAAAAGTGGCAACGCCGTTCAATTTGGTGAAATTATATTCTGAAATACATGTGCGATTTCAATCTTTATCAGCGGCTACGTTTAAGCCGGCTTAGCTTTTGAGCCGAAAGAAGTCGGCGGCGGCGCGGTTTGCAAAAAATTACCGGCGGCCAGCCGCCACCGATTTGAGCCGTCTCGGCTTGTATCTCTGGTCCAAATCCCGACGAAAATTCAAGCCTAATTTTCCCATTAGTGCCAGTTTTTGCGAAATGTTTGAATTTTATTTGAGATTCAAGTTGTCGCTTAGTGCTTGTCCATATAGAAAATCATTTGTCGCTTAAATTTGAAGTTAGCGGTATGAAAAAAGTAAAACTAATTACCATTCTGTCACGGCCTGTGTTAGAATTATGAAAAAAAATGATCTAAATCTAGGCAAAAGTTCAGTGCTTAATTTTCCCATTAAAGCTAGTTTATGCGACATGTTTGGATTCTTACCGAGGTTCCAGTTGTCGCGCAACTTAATGCTTAATTGAAGAAAGCGAAAAAAATTAACATCCTGATTTTCATCCTCTACTATAAACACCAAAAGTTGAGCGACAAAAGTTGGTCTGTGTGAAGCGACACCTAGCAGTGTCGTGCAAATTAATCTATAAATATTTTTTTTGCAAGAAGAAAAAATTATCAGTTTCCGAAGTTTCGCTCTTCTATAAACTAAAAACAGTTGAGCGACAAAGGTTGGTCTATGTGAAGCGGCAATTATCAGTGCAGTTCCTTAAAAAGTGTGGAACAGTTTATGAAGTTTTGCATTTTAATAAAAAAAAGGGACCATAAGAAAAAAAAAAGAAGAAATTTCGTTTTGTGTGTTTTCTACTCTGAGATCTTATATACCTAAATAACAGCTCTGAAGGATAATGGAACGTCGGACTTAAAAGTTTCACAAATACATACATATTTTAATATTCACCTATAAAACCTTAATTCACAATTAGCAGCAGTATGAACTGCTATGATAGGAACCTGGAACCAAAACAAGGTCCTGATGCTTATTGGCTTTTCTAATCTAATCTAATGTATCCTCCAGTTCCACATAGACCTGATTTTTCTTAATGTATGCACAGCTTATAGGTGGGGACATCTTCATCCCTGCATTAAGTTAACATTTCGGCATTCATTTAGGCAACGATCGAAAGAAGGTATTCCACCAAAAAAACGGAATCGGAAATCTAAATGTCAATATAACTTGAAAAGCGACAGCTTGCTATTGATCATTTCCTCTTGAAAGTAGGATCAATGAGAACCAATTTAAGACATTGTCGCCCATTTGGTAGCTCATGCATTATTCATCATCTATTAAACTAAAAACACGATTTTGTTATTAAAGTTGATCTAAATGGCGTTTTATGCGGCACAAATTTGAAAAATTTCTGAAGACAACATCGATGAAAGTGTCGTCAATATATAAACTAAAGATTAGTTTATCTAGCCCGTATTGGGACTGTGGTGCCCTCTTTTACATGGAAAATTTTGTTGTGAAAAACCATATTATATAGGGCTCTACGAAGGTATTATCGTCTGATGTTTAAAAACTCCATAGTAACTTTGTGTCACTCCATAGTAACTTTGTGGCTCTCTCCACCGTATTATTAGTCAAGGTGGAAGTATGGGCTTCTCTTTGTCATGTTTTTAATTCAGTTCGAGTTGGGTTAAACGGTTTTGCATTCATCGGAATTACTTCTTTATTGGTTCCCGAGTAGCCTAGTACCTGTATAAGGGAAAATGTACGCTTGGTTGAGTATTCGATTAAGGTTCTCTTACAATCTAATACACTTTTTGATGTGTATCGACCTAATTAGATAGATGGTAGTAGATTCCGGTTTCTGGGTTTTCAAAGTAGATTCCCAGGACCTAGTTTGATATTTGTTATAATGATTCGCTTGATTATGATATTCTATCTGGGCTAAGTGTCTAGAAATTCCCGACAAAATCTGTTTTCAATGTTTGCGTTAGCCCTTCCATTTGCTTAGTACACATTAATGACGTGTTCTATTGATTTCGAGTAAAAAATCTACTTTCCTGTATATAATCTTAAGAATTTTACAATTCTTATAAATTTTGTAAAAAAAATACTAACTAAACTTAAAGATTATTTATAAAATTTCTAAAGAAATATAAATAGAAAAATTATGCTTTAAAATGACCCATCATTCCTGGGAAAGTAATCACACTTTAAGCGAATAAGTACCAAAAGTAGTTAAATTTAAATAAGTAAGTTCTCAATAACTACAATGACTACGAAACGAAATCTTTACACAAATATAATGACATCTACTTAATGTCAAATAAGACAGCAGCAACAACAACAGCAAAATGCTCCAAAAAAAAAAATTCAATATCAAAAAGCATTTCCACTATTGCTCATATGTAGACCCCATTCTAGAAATAATGATTTAACACATTTAACAAACAAAATGAGTTAAGAAAAATATGGACCTAAACAAACAATAAAGAAACGTTTTACAATAAAACTGACCTCAAGTAGTTAAAAGAAGGTATTTTTTTTATGTAAAAGAGAGAAAAAGGGTTTAAAAACACTTTTATTTACTACAAGTATTTAATCATTACGAGAAACAACAAAACAAATAAAACTTAAAAAAAACAAGTAAGAAATTATAGTCGGGCGAGCCGACCATATGATACCCTACACCTGTTACAAAAATAAAATGTGATTTAGTTTTCATAATAAAGCATTTAAGTTGAATTGTACCTTGTCTTAGATATGCATACTTAAGCCGTTTATTGTTGAATAAAATTGTGGACATTTAAGTGAAATTTTGATGGGGGCTTTTCATAGGGGCTAGGGTCATATGAGAACCTATTATTATGGAATTCGTGAGGGTCATCAAGTCTTGTATACAATTTGGTTTTTGCAGCTTTTTGTTGAGATACGAGTATATTAAACATAATTAAGAATTTAAAAGCCCTATTCGGCGGGTTCAGTTGTATGGGGGCTAGGTGAAATAATGGACCGATGTTAACCATTTTCAATAAGCTTTGTCTCCGGTACCATAGAAGATCATGTGCCAAATTTCATTGAATTATCATCAAAATTGCGACCTGTAGTTTGATTACAAGGTTTACAAGCCCTATTCCGGGGTTCAGTTGTATGGGGGCTAGGTGAAATAATAGACCGATGTTAACCATTTTCAATAGGCTTTATCTCCGGTACTATAGAAGATCAAGTGTCACATTTCATTGAATTATCATCAAAATTGCGACCTGTAGTTTGATTACAAGGTTTACAAGCCCTATTCCGGGGTTCAGTTGTATGGGGGCTAGGTGAAATAATATAACCGATGTTAACCATTTTCAATAGGCTTTGTCTCCGGTACCATAGAAGATCATGTGTCAAATTTCATTGAATTATCATCAAAATTGCGTCCTGTAGTTTGATTACAAGGTTTATAAGCCCTAGTCCGGGGTTTAGTTGTATGGGGGCTAGGTGAAATAATGGACCGATCTTAACCATTTTCAACAGGCTTTGTCTCCGGTACCATAAAAGATCATGTGTCAAATTTCATTGAATTATCATCAAAATTGTGACCTGTAGTTTGATTACAAGGTTTACAAGCCCTATTCCGGGGTTCAGTTGTATGGGGGCTAGGTGAAATAATGGACCGATGTTAACCTTTTTCAATAGGCTTTGTCTCCGGTACCATAGAAGATCATGTGTCAAATTTCATTGAATTATCATCAAAATTGCGACCTGTAGTTTGATTACAAGGCTTATAAGCCCTAGTCCGGGGTTCAGTTGTATGGGGGCTAGGTGAAATAATAGACCGATGTTAACCATTTTCAATAGGCTTTGTCTCCGGTACCATAAAAGATCATGTGCCAAATTTCATTGAATTATCTTCAATATTGCGACCTGTAGTTTGATTACAAGGTTTACAAGCCCTATTCCGGGGTTCAGTTGTATGAGGGCTAGGTGAAATAATAGACTGATGTTAACCATTTTCAATAGGCCTTGTCTCCGGTACCATAGAAGATCATGTGTCAAATTTCATTGAATTATCATCAAAATTGCGACTTGTAGTTTGATTACAAGGTTTTAAGCCCTAGTCCGGGGTTTAGTTGTATGGGGGCTAGGTGAAATAATGGACCGATCTTAACCATTTTCAATAGGCTTCGTCGCTGGGACAATAGAAGATCATGTGCCAAATTTCATTGAATTATCATCAATATTGCGACCTGTAGTTTGATTACAAGGTTTA